TTCATAATATATTTTCTTCCAAATATATAGTATAAATATACAAAATTGACATATAATATAAAAAATATTTTATAAAATTGTAACCTACTAAAAAAATATTTTTATCATGTTATAATATTTTATAAAATTATAGGTTATTAAACTAAATTTAAGAATGAAAAATTGTGAATTATTTATAATGTTTTAAAATAATTTTTTTAAGTGATAAATTTTTTATATGAAAAAATTATTTAATATGATAAATAAAATTATATTAAAAAAATGTTTTTACTAAAATAATAAGATAATAATCGGTATTAAATGAATTAAGTGATCAAAATAGTTTTGTATTTTATATATTTTTAATTTATTTTTTATATATGATCTTACATAAAGAACAAATATTATATATTTTATGATTTTTAAATAATAAATTTTAAAAGTTGCAAAGATCAAATTAACTAAATAATAAAAGTTTGATTTGATTTGATTTGAATTTCATAATTCATTTAAATCGAATCAAAAGTAAATCATACTTAATTTTTTTTGTTTGATTTGGATAACTTTTGAAGTAAAAATCAAATTAAATAACACCGATCACCCTTATGTGTCTATATGTTTTGTTATTTTTAATTTTTCATAGAAGTCAATGATATGATCCATCAGATGATAAATATAAGCATCTATTTCAATAGAAATTTAAAATATAAATTATCACTTATATTATATAAATTAAATAAACGCTTTAACAAGAAGACTTGCTTGATGGATTTATAGGCAATCAAAAATCAATGTTATTGGTAGTTATCGACATTCTTGTATACCTAAAATCTATAAGCAATTGAAGATACTTAACCATTAGTTAACACAGGACTTTAGACTCTCAATTATCTCGATCTTATAAGATGCTAAGGAAGTTAAAATGAAGAGGAAGCGAATTAAACTTTATCTGTAGTTAAAGATATTAAGGTAATTGAAAAGATCAAGTCATTTGTAAGTCTCGACCGCCTATTCCATGTAAAGACTAAGGATTAAGTCATTTTCCACTCTAGACCACTAAGACCCTATAAGTAACCAAAGGTGATAAATAACATTAAAAAAAATTTAAAAAGTAATTAGTTTTAAAAATAATTAAGCTTAACTTCTATATAACATGGATTAAGACACACATTATCTAATTCATAATATTAGATCAAGACTTAAAGTGATTACGATTAATATAAATAATAATATATATTATTGAAGAAAAAAAACACAATTCTTTCATTACTAACATTTATTACACTAAGCAAATATTTTACTTAAAGAAAGAAACATTCGCATTTCCTTAAACAAATACAAAATACATCTACAATTAATTATTGCATTAGAAAGTCTAATTTAATTAATAAAAATAATAATAAGTACATTATCTTCATTATATACAATATTTCAATTAAAAACTACAATATAGAACTTGAAATAGATATAAAAGCAACAAGAATATATATTTATTTCAGTAGTATATATAATACGTCTTCTTATATATCCAATTTTAATTTCCTATAAAAACAATTAAAATAAAAACAGTGTCGTTTTTTCTTTGTAAACGTTACGTTTAGATAGTTTGTACATAAATTTTGAATGTTGATATTATTTATGTTTTAATTTTTGAATGTATTTATGAAGTTGTATCATTAACTTTAGTTTAATTACTTAAACTTTTTTATTATAAACTTGATATTTATAACCTCGTTATTAAGAGTTTTAATTTAATTACTATTTTGGATATCAAGTACTTTATAATGATAAATTTTTTAATTTAAAATATAAAATTATGTTGTAATAAATTTGTGCTTTTAAATTTAAAATTTTGATATGTGATATTTATTATTTAATATATTAATAATTTATTTTTAATGTGAGAAATATTTTAAATTATATTAATTATATTATTTTAATTTTTAATATAAATCAATTTAACCGATTCAATAAATGACCCTCAAATTTAACCACTAAATTATCAAACCACTTTCTTGATATCGATGAACGGTTAATATTGGACAAAACTATTTTCAAATATTTTTACACTTTAATTCTCATTTTTATAATGGTTTCTAGGTCTGATTCAATACAAAGAAAAAGTGTTAGAGTGTATAAAGCATATTTATCAAAGATGAATAAATATAACTCGATTGGAAGATTTATAATAAAAGAAACATAGGAAAAAAAAAAGGGTTGCTTATTAATATGGAATTGAATTTCTATCAGATCAAAATTCTCGCATTTAACCTATATATAACTAGAAAAGAGAATGTCTATGAACTCTCATATATTATACATTAATATTTATTTGAAAGTATATTAACATATTCTTGTTTATATTTATCAAACTATTAGTTTATATATATATAT